GTAAGTTTACAGAGCGTATTTTATACTTTGTGACCGATCTTTGTCGTTGATGTGAACATTTATTCTTATAGTTTAGGGTTATTTAAGATTGATCCTGTCGTAAGTCTTCTACCTGCAACCATTCGACAATATTTCGTTTTAGCGTTATCTTTGCCGTTACGTTGGCTTCGCGTTACTTTTGTTTTAAATATCTTGATCGCGTTAAAAGAGTTATTTTTCAGGCCAGTGACATAGCTAAAAGACTTGACATTTAATAACGTCATTGTGATTTTAAAGAGATATCTCTAGAACTGAGGATTTTAGAAAGCGTTATCTGTACCTTCTCAAAGTTGTAGACAAGATATGTTGTTTACGTCCAACACGCATAAGACTACATAACTCAAAATGATTCGAGCGAAACCGGTCTTTTGTTAAAAGGAAGAATGGTTAATAGAAATTGGTCATTTTGAGTGACATAATCGTGTATCGTCATCGATCCGTATCGTTGAACAATGAAAAAATTTGTTGTGAAATTAGTGAAGATAAAATAGCATTTTGTGAAAAAACTGCGGGTCTACAGAGTGGGAACTTTTCGGATTTGAAATCAGCGTGTTCGAAAGTGTTAGTTCCCGCAAAAATATTTCAGATCTAAGACATGCTTAATGAAAGTGAACGATATCGGGTCACAACACACGGACTATGGGTTTTGTATTCATTTTAAATCAAACAAGAGCTAGCAATAGTGATGTTTGATATGAGAAATTTCCGGTATCAGTATACTGGAAAAACTATACCGATATTATCGGTATACTTGACAAAGTAAAGGGGTTTTACTAATACTAACCCTATTCCGAATACTAATCCTAACCCTACTCCAAGTTTGGTTCTAAACCAGTCTTGAAGAAAAAAGGTTTGATGAAATGTCATTCTGAGGTCAGCAAACTAACCTTCCCTAAATTCAAAGCTGTTTCGAAGGAATTTCAGTCATTTCAATGAGATTTTTAATAGAAATATTGATTATTTTACCATATCGTACTGAAACATTCGGGTATATTGGAAATTTCGGTATATTGGTATTACTGAAAAAGTCATACCGACATTGGATTTAATACCAGTATTTTCGGTATATAACATTTCCTGATGTCTGATATATCAGTCTGCATGCCATTGAAGAAGTCTTGTTCTGGTTTATGCATGCAATCAGCTTCAATAATAAGTGCAATGCCATGTATATAATAAAGGTCTTATATATTACTTACCCTTCTCCTTTCTTTGCTTCTCCAATATGACATCTTTGCACTCTCAAACTTCTTAAAACGAAGTAGAAGCTCTTTGACAGAGAGGCCTGTTGGAGAGTTGTTAAACTCTAACTTCAAAGCTCGCTAAAGGTAGGCACTAATAGGTAGAAATTATAAACAACATCAATGGTAAAATGTTATGTATCAGGATATAAAATATTTTTATATTTTGATACATTTATTAATATTTTTAAATGACCAAATAGTCTGTAAATAGATATGCCATTATTAACCTGTTTGTCTGGGAAATCCATTGGGAATCTTGCTTTTGTTGTGTATATTTTAAGATACAATATTTTAATTTACAATATTTTAAGACGTAAAGGCAAATGGCATTATGTGACAAAAAAATGTGATGCATAATATCTGACAGGTTTGTGTGTATACAACTGTCCTGTCTGTTTAAAAATATAAATAATAAAAATATTAATACTCGCAGTGTGGCAGCATGCAGTTTGAAAGATCAAACTTTTCTGCCTCTGCTCCTTTTCGTATATATTCTTAACACAGGCCAATTAAGATTTCTTCTTGTACATCTTGCACTCTACTGAGAGTTTTTTTATGGTGGCCACTTCTTTCTGCAGATCTAGTATTAGCTGCTCTGAATTATTTCCTAAAGTCAAAAGCGAAACAACAAAGCCATTTTAAAAACGCCACCATACACACTATAAACAAATAAAATATCAAGAAGTTGAAGGCAATATGCAATAAGAGTAGTTTATGTTTATTTATTAAAGAATACTCCCTGAACACAACACTAGGACATGATAATAACATTATTTTCTAGCCTTTATAACTTCGTTTTATGCATAAATAGCAACAAAGCTTGGAAGCCATTTTAGTTTTGCAAGGACTCAGGGGTCAGGGTCAGGGAGGATTAAATATTGTGGAAATTATTAAATTTATTTAAATTTTTCAACTTAAAAATTTGTTTCAAGTTGAATTTACTGAATTTATAGCAAGTGTTAGAATTTTTGAAAAACAAATGTGATAAAAAATAGAGACCTGACACACCAGATGAGTCTTGTGTCGCATGACCCTACAAAATTAAAGAAAACAACCACTATTAAAAGCGATAGAGTATCAACAATAAAGCAACTTTATGTAACTTACCACTGGTAATAGACGGCTGACAATTTTGAATTCTGTTTGATGTTTGCTCTTCATAAAACGTGTCGAAGTTACTAGTAAATATCAAACAGCTACAATTATTTCGGACAAAGATATGGGGAGTCTGCATTAAACCAGGTGTGTTATTACTTTAAAATAACTTACTCCTCAAAGTAGTTGAATGGGTCCTGCATTTCTTCGTCAACCTGTTCACGCATCCGAGGATGATACATTTTACACAGTTTTTCACCAACACTTACTATTTTTCCGCACAATGAGAAAGTGCTTTCCCAAGGCGGGAAAAAAATTTGAACAAAAAATAAGAGCAATAACTGTATCAGCCAATCAGGAAAATCCTCCCCTAAATAAGGAAGCAAACGTTCAAAAAGATAATTCAACCAACCAATAGGAATGCACCTGTTGAATGAACGCTAAAAAGGCTAAAAATACAAATTTGAAACTCGTTTTTAAAAGTATGTGATCATGAATAATATCCACGTAATATCCGCGTAATATCCACTCGAAAAGTTGACTTATGCAAATCACGAATGCTTCCAAAACGCTATAAGCAATATATCATGGGATACGATGAACATGTTTGACGACCCTAACGACAAGTTATTAATTTGGGAGAAACGTTTTACGCCAGTCATGGATATTTACTTTCCTGTGAGATGTAAGCGAATTAGGAAGAACTCATATTCATGGATAGACAGTAGTGTATACTAGTTTTGATGCGTAACAGAGACCAAGCTTGTAAAAAGGCTTTGAAAACTAAATCGGTCGAAGACTTTAACATCTACAAACGTCTTCGGAATTGTGTCACAAGCAGGTTGTGTAAAGCCAAATCTGACTTTTTCCAACACAAATTAGACGACTGCCACGGTGATCCTAAAGCTTTTTGGAAACTAATGAAAAAAGTACTTCCATCGAAGAACTGAACAACCAAAATTGATAAACTTGTTGTCAACGGCGTTGATACAGTGGACCCTAAAGATATTAGCGATTCTCTGAACTTACATTTTACATTGGTCGCCACAAATCTCCTTTGTGCCAGATCTCCCACAACGATGTCTTCTACTTCCAACCTTGACTCCCATCATGTTCCACCATCCCAGTTCCCCTCATCATTGGAAAGTTCCTCGCCAACCAAATTCCATTTCCGTACAACAACTGATGTTGAAATCTCCAATATGTTGGCTAATTTAAATCCCAACAAAGCTACTGGGAATGATAACATCCCGGCGAAGATCCTTAAGATATCCTCAAACTGTATTTCTCAAAGTCTGTCGTGTATAGTCAATAGTTCCTTGGAGACTGGAGTTTTTCCAAATAGATGGAAAATTGCCAAAATTTCATCTATTTTCAAGGGAAATATAGCTGCAGACCGATATCAATTTTACCCCGCTTATCCAAGATATGTGAATCGTGTGTAGACAACCAGATGAATGAACATGACCAGGAATTCCAAACTTTCTTCGAACCCAGTCAGTACGTGTACAAAAAACATAGCTCGACCGTGACAGCTTTAATACAAGTCATAGATTCCCTGAAACTCGCTGTGGATCAAAAACAATATTCAGTGGCTACTTTTATCAATCTGCGGAAGGCGTTCGATATTATTGATCATCGTGTTCTTCTGGATAGATTAAGAAAATATGGATTTCGGGAAATTGAGGCTAATTGGATCTGCTCATATCTAACTGACAGGCAACAATATGTTGTGTGTAATGGTGTCCAATCTCAACTGTTACCAATAAATTACGGCATCCCACAAGGTTCTGTGCTCGGTCCCTCGCTGTTTTGTTTGCTTTTCAATCCAATAGTCCACAGCTTCCTCTCTTCAAGACCATCTCTTTATGCGGACGATATTGAAACCCACTGTTCACATCCTAATCTTGATGTAGCTCAGTCGCAAATGAATAAATATCTCAAACGAGTGGACCAATGGTTGGCAGATAACAGAATGATTCCAAGACTTCCAAATGTCAAAAAAAACAAAATCTATGGTAATTGGATCACAGCATGCACTGAAAAGGGCAAATGATATTGAAATCTATCTGGACAATGAGATCCTTGATGTGGTCACTACATTTGACTATCTCGGTGTTCGAATAAGCAACATTCTGTCATGGGAACAGCATGTTAGCAGAATATGTCAACGCTTGTATCCAAAATTTGGCTTACTCAATCGCATATCATCATTTCTACCTTCCGTAATTTTACTCCGTATTTACAAACCAACTATACTACCCATCTTGGACTATGGTTCGACTGTTTGGCATGAGTGCGGAATAATCCAAACGAGGCGGGTCGAGAAACTCCAGAATCGTGCTTTGAGGATTTTCCTTCACAAAGGAAGGCGAAAATGCTCTCAAGAGATGCACAGTGAACTAAAGCTGCTGACATTGCACAGCAGGAGACGATTTTTTTGCTTTATGTGTATTTTCAAGATACTGTACAACTTGGACTGCCCCAGTCAACTGAGAGATACGTTCAAATTCAGACGTTGCATGTACAACAGAGACCTGAGGGATAAGACGATCTTTCGAAGGTGAACAGTGCAATAGGTCAATCTACTTTCAAGTATGCTGGTGCTAAAGACTGGAACTCTCTACCATTAAACATTAGAGAATTGATATCACTCTCAAAATTTAAACGTACTGTTTATGCGCGTCTTTTAGAACTTGACAACAATTCTCATATTTGTAGTATATAGGATGCATGTTTATATTGTATACATGCAATCGTTGATAATTGTAATCACTGTTTTCCCGTTATTTTTAACAATTTAAATAAAGTATTTATTATTATTATTAATATTCATTCATATTCATAATCTGTTTTGTGTTTATTCAGTAAGACAATGAAGAGAAGCAGACAATCAGTCTCAACATGTGTTGACTGCAATAGAAGTTTTGAGTCACAAGAAACCTTGACACAACATTTTAACTTGCGCAATCATGTTTAATGGTTGTTGGCGATAAAAAATGCACAACTGATGAACACGGACGAAGAAAGGGAGATATTGGAAGATGTGGCATAAGAGTTGAGGATGTCTACAGCCATAATGGGATTTCATCAGACGAAGAAAGTATACCAGACGATGACATGGGGGAGGTATTGTTTAACGCTGAGGCGGAACAACTTATTGATGAAAATGCTGACAAAGACTTCTTCCTGTTTCCAAGTAAGAAGTTTTTCTGCTGTATTGTTACGTGCACAGTGTCATGAGACTGAAGGTAAGAACAGCATTATTCCGCAATACCAATGGACCATATTGACTCATTTAAGTGCCCCTAACAAGCACAATATTAAGGGACCATGCAAAATTTATTGTACCACCGGGCCATAAAAAAATGCAAGCCCTGCTTAAATTGGCATGATAAACTAATCTCAAGCCCCGCTCTGAGCTTTACTAAAAAAAGTTGCTGCTCCACTACCGTTAGTAAAAGAATGCTTGTGCTTTCTGAAGAAAACAGGTGGATATATACTGTACATAGCAATGTTTTTTATACAAAATCAGAAGAGATCGCTAAAATATGAAGGAGGTCTGACGCTGCGACCCCTGCGAGTCTGAACTTCTCCTAAAGAGAATAATCCCCATGCTGGCCTTCCACTTATAGTTGATTGATCTCCTTTATCACACGAAGGAGACAAAGGACACAAAAAGGTGGGTCGAATGGGGGGGGGGGTAGACTGATATGCCAACAAGAACTTGGAGAGCTCTTGTTTCCAAGACCGTCCTTCGAGGTTCGCCGTTCGAATAGCCTTGCCGAGTGGCTTCATGAACGCTTCAACTTCCGCATTCCCCTGAGGCCAAAGAGGTGTGGAGGTATTATGCTGGATTCCCATTTTGGTCATGTATCTGTTGAATTGATGTCCTTGGAAAGGTTGCCCATTGTCTGAAACAACCTGCGAAGGTACACCATGCCGGGCAAAAACTGCATCGAGTTTTGGGATTACACTCTTGGCAGAGATTGAAGACAACACTTCTACTTCCGGAAATTGAGAATAGCAATCGAGGATCACCAAAATATACTGTCCAGTCTGTAATGGGCCATGGAAATCAATCTTGAGCTTGTTCGATGCTTTGTTAGGTAGCGGGGTGGACAGGGGTTCTGGTTGACTTGGTTGCCCAGTGGCTTGGCAAGCGAGGCACTTTTCAAGTTCTGTTTTGTCCATTTCTGGGAACCAAACATGTTCCCTTATCAACGCCTTTGTTCTGGCCTGCCCTTGGTGCCCTTCATGGGCCAGCTGTATGACACATTGAACCAATGATGAAGGGATTACAAGTCTGGTGCCCCGAAGCACCACATTGTTGGTGTAGTCAATAGATAGTTCATCTTTGATGGGCTTGAACTCTTTCAGTTCACTACTGGACCACTGTCCCGTCTGGATTGCTGTACGTACCAAACTAAGTAATGTATCTTTGCGACCATCGTCCACTGTAAGTGCGGGGAGGACTGCTGTGTGTGTTACAAAATGTACATACTTGTCTGCAATGTTCGTTTGTTTTTGTTTACTATCAGGGGGATGGCGAGACAGGTAATCTGCCGGATTTGTACTGCCTGATTTATAAACAACCCAAAATTTATATTGCAGGAGGCATAGGAACTAACACTCTATTCGGGCTGGTGGTTTTGAAATTGGGTTCCCAAAGATGACTTCGAGGGCTTTGTGGTCGGTATACAGAGTGAAGGTTGCACCATACAGATACAAATGGAAATACTCAATACCCCACACCATGGCCAGCGCCTCCTTTTCAGTTTGTGAATAGCGTCACTCGGTAGAGGTAAGAGCACGACTAGCATAAGCGACTATGTTTGGGGGTGATGAAAGTGAATCACGCTGAGCTAAGATCACTGACACTGGACTTGCATCCACTGTCACTTCAGTGGCTTTGTTGACATCGAAGTAACTCATCATAGGACTGTTAATTAAAGCCTTTTGCACTGTATTATACGCATGGTCCTGTTCCTGAGTCCATATAAAAGGTGTTTCTTTGTGGGTGAGTTACCGTAATGGTTTCCGTGATTGTGGCAAAGTTGGGGATAAATTGTGAGCTGTAATTAGCCATGCCGAGGAGGCTTCTGACCTCGCTCCCCGTGGTGGGCATAGCAGCAGTAGCCAAGGCAGAAACCTTATTAGGATCTGGGCAAACACCGTCCGCTGAAAAGTTAAGTCCAAAAAATTCAAGCTTAGGTTGCAGAAACTGACATTTGTCAAAGTTGAGGGTCAAACCATGGGTGTCAATGCGATGTAGACACTCATCCAAGGCTATGTTATGTGCTTCGTAAGGCGATCCAAAAACTAAAATGTCATCGGCAATGTTGCAGACTCCTGGTATGTCATGCAAAACTTGTTGCAGTGTTTCTGCGGCCGAATTTGTGCCTTAGTTTAAACGCTTAAAACGAAACAATCCTGCGTGTGTGATGAATGTTGTGATTTGACGGCTTTCAGGGGCTAACTCAAGTTGGTGATATGCCTGTGTAAGGTCTAATTTTGTGAAGAATTTAGCACCATTTAATTCATGCGAAATGTCATGCACTGTTGGTATGGGGTGTCAAATTCGTTTAGTAGCGGTGTTTGCTGTGCGCATGTCAATACATAGGCGAATATTGTCGTATTTTTTGGCATGATGACGATTGGAGATATCCATTCGGTTGCTTCTGTATCTGGTACGCGTTCAATGATGTCCTCATCCTGTAACTGACTTAACTCTGCATCGACTTTAGCTCTCAGGTGGAATGGAATGCGACGTTGACGCTGAGTAATCTTTGTCAACAGGCAGTTCAACTGTTTGATGTCGTAATTTCCCGAGGCCACAAAAAACATTTGGATACTTCTGGACAACACACGTTGTACTCCATTATCTTTAATTCATGTAAACGTTGGTGCTGTTTGGGATGATGTTGTTATTTGTACCGCATTCAAATGCCAGCTGATTAGTCCTAGCTCTTCTGCAGTTGACCCACTCAAAAGACAACCACCGTTTGCTTTTGTAACATAAATGGTTGTCACCGTAATCTTGCGCCGTGATTCCACAATGGTGGTAAATTTCCCATTCATTTTAACAGGGACGTTTGAATTAAATGCATAAGCTTTGATGTTTGTTTTGGTTTGCTCAAAGGTTTGTTGATCTATTATGTTTATACTGGATCCAGTGTCAACCGTAAACTTTACATTGCGATTGTTAATCTTCAACTTTGTGTAGGGATTTTGCGTCTTTGTATCGTTAACTGAATAACAATAATTGTCTGAGTCGCTTGATTCATTGTCCGAGACATTAAGTGGCCGAATAGGTTTGTTTTCATGACGTCCTTGCCATCGTCCACGGTCTTGCCGCTGACCTCGCGCCTTCGCAGGCGCAGATTGACACACTCTCGCAAAATGGTTCAGTTTGGAACATTTTCGGCATTCTTTGCCCTTTGCTGGACATAATCCCATGTTGTGTGGCCATTCAGCACCACAATTCCTGCAAACCCCTTTTTGCGATGTCTTTCCAGCAGGGGGTATTGCGAACAGCATCCACAACAGCGTCATCGTTCATACCGGTTTGATTGTTTCTTGTACCTTCCTCGATCTCTGCAGCTTGTTGACGACTTCGTTCACATTGGCGGCCCAAAACTAGTAGGTCTTTCAATGTCAACTTGGGATCACGTAAGGCTTGCTTTCGGAGTAGACTGGAGCGACCACATACGACAATTTGAACCATTATTTCAAAATCTGGATCAGCAAACTCGCATCGGGTAGATAAACTCCGCAATCGTGTATAACATTGGTCTAAAGTTTCGCTGACGTCTTGTCGTGCCTCACGAAATTTGTACACCTTGTACAATCGGTGTTTTTGTGGTTCAAAGTATTTGTTTAGTTTCTCAACCGCCTTGTAGTCTTTGTCATCTCCATTATCAGGGATTTGCCGAAAAATTACGCGAACTTGGGCGCCTGCCTGGTATAAAAGCAGCGCTTGCTTCTTGGCTTTGTTTGTAATGCCGTTCGTGGTAATGTACATCTCAAAGTCTTCCATCCAGATTTTCCACTTGGGGCCAATATTTGCTCCAATGTCCGAGTCAGGATCAAATGGAGGCATTGGATTTACTATAGGCATCGTCGCCATCCTCGTCGCCAATGTTATGTCTTAGGTTTTACTAGTTTTATAGCTCAAATTCGCTTGAAAAATATTTGTTTACTTTCCCGCTCTGGCTCTCTCAACTAATGCCTCCCACAAGGCTTACCGGAAGTGACGTAACACTACAATAAGAGAATATTTTGTTTGGTCACTTTGGTGGCCGTTTTACCATACCCTGTATCAGAGTCTGTTGTTAAGGGTTACTAATAAAAGTGGAATATGGTAAAATAAAAAGTGTGTGCCCTGCCTGAAACATGTAAAAATTTTTTGTGCCTGCTTCTGTGCAGCTCAAAAAAAGTATGTGCCCCATCCCCTCTTCTGCTCCAGCCCTGTATAAACATAAATTTTGCATGGTCCCTAAAAGCATGTTACAGACGAGCAAGTTTTCTATGGCAAGTTTTTATGTGACAAGTTTGATTGGTATATAAATCATTATCTCACAGTCAAGATCAGACTTGGAGTTTCTTTGGATGATGGGTCGCTTTGGGGTGAATCTTCCTACACTTTCATATGTTTTGTCCTTTGAAGTGAAAGGCTTGGAAAACTGCATCTCATTAAGAAAGGTAAATCGCAATTAATCCTAAAATATCTAAAAATGTTCTAATGAAAGCGAATGTTAACCAATACTAAGAAAGTTCCCCCCTAAATATATCTTCATAAGTTCTTAGTAAATGATTACCTGATAATCAAACCTATCGTCGGTTTGAAGAATTACAGCACTCTGGCTGACTTGGCTCAATTGTTGCAGGAAAAATGGGTGGCTACATCTCAATGGCGGGTGAGCAGATGAGCCCTTGAGGTGACCGAGAAGTGTGGTGGTTATTAATTCGTACAAAGTAATGCACTTTAATGCATTTCAGGGAAGGAAGTGGTATATAGACGAACAATTTCATACAACCTCTGCAAGTGTTTCCAGAAATACTTTCTATGTTAAAGATTTGGTAGAATATAAAATTGATGAGAATACGTCATGGGATAATAGATGGATTCTATATGAAGGTTTTGATCTTACTTATGTGTGTAATTGGATAATTATACGAATTATCATATACGCCAATTGACGATAATGTGGTTTAGTATAATTACATAGGTGATTATTGAAAATTCTCCATGCTATGGAATTATACTAAAACAATTATTAACCTCAGGCTCGGTGATTATTGTGAATAGAAACCTCAACTTTGTTTCGGTTTTATTTGCCTATAATCAATTGTTAATTAATAGAATGTTGATGATACGCTGAAACACTTCTGTCATTTGACAAAGACAATTCTGTTCAACATGGAGTTATGCTCACTGACCCTAACACAGAAAGTGGAGGAGGTCTGTCTTGAAGAGATACAAAGGGTATCAGGGTACATAGTTGATTGCAAAAAGACGGACGGACATGTCGTCCAACTTACCAACAAGGTATGTATGATCCCTTCATGTCACATAAAAACATAATTGAACAGGGAATATCTTAAGCAATTTATCTCCTTTAATAGAGCGTTTAATGCATTTTCATTTCCGAACCAAAATCCTGGCAGACGGAAGACAGACTCTAACACTCCCATTAGTTATATTCTCCGATGAAACGAGCGGGAACAGAAGCAAGAAATGGAATCAAATCGAAACATAATCAATGTTTCTAGCAAGTCTGCCGCGAAAGGAAATCACCAAATTCAGTAACATACATTTCATCTGTGCATCAAGTTTTGCAGATTCTATAACTTTGGGAAAAGAAATCGCAACAGATTTAAGGAGTATGTATATACTTATAATTCAGCATATCAGATATAACAAGTTATTAATGTTTATCTCATTTAAGTATTCTACTGGTAGCTTGCAATAATCCAAGGGCATCCGAATTTGCACACCACATGGGCACAGTTCAGCTAACCATTACTGTCGGATATGCGACGTATGTAAATGAGTTTTTAATCGAAGAGCAAAAATTTGAACCCTTTTAGCTGACTCTTCCACAGTCCCTCATCTGTCATTCGTATGTGCGGTCCATTAAGCGCCACGCTCCCATTGTTTTTACATTGATCTCTATTCCCAACTGCAGCGACGAGGGACGAGCCAGCCCCTTTTGTACATTTAATCATATAGAGGGCAAAATTACTCGACCATGATTGGGTAAGTAGGAGGGAATTTTTTCTTAATTAGGGGGAAATTACTTGCGATTCTGAAATTAAACCTTAATTTTACTCTGCCCCTTGTGATTATTACCTAAAGATATTTATGGTTATTCAAATAGGCAACAAAAGGAGGAGTAGAAGTTGGCGTTTTGCGTACACCAGAAGACGATTATAGGTGGCCTCAAAAAATGTCTTCAAAATTATGTAATGTAATGTAAGCAAATTTAAATTCATGTTGACAATAAAAGAGTTAGTTCAAAATACCAAAAAGAATTAAAGTATTGTATGTATTATATTTGCATTACTAATAATGAGTGGCCTATATTACACCACAAAGCTTTCGTGCGGATTATATTTCGTGCAGTACCAAAATTTGTGCACCCAGCACTGCGCGAATTATAGTACTGCACAAATTTTAATACATTAGTAAGGTATATAGGTTTAGAAAAAACTTTTTGTCCGCTACGTTAGGAAAATTTACCATGATTATCTTTTGTACACCTTCCACGGAAATAAAATTTGTTTGCATTCACATTCACAGGTCTTTTCCATAGAAGTGAAAGACAAAAAAGGAGATAAGGAAGTCGACAGGAACCACAGAACGAGGTGGACAGTTCGATATTTTATGATATAAATTTCGATATAAGTTATGATGCAATAAAGTAAGCAGCTTCTATTCATGTGTATCTACTCATTATGTGTAATTCGTCCACGTAAAATTACAAAATCTTTGAGTGCGTATAAAATGATCTTATTACTATTATTACACTTGTTGACATGTTGTACGTTTTCACATGTGTAGTGCTTATGAAACGAAGTCTTTGCCTCCTTTTTTACTGTTTTGACAAGAAGTACTGCTTGAATAATGGAGAATGGCGTTTACAGTTTATTCATATCCCATCTCTTTAAAGAATCGCAGTCAACTGTGATCCTTTGCACCCTATGATTTTTACCTGTCTTTTGTATTCCGCCATTTTATTATCCCCCTGTAGGCTGACAATTGGCTATGACAAGTTTCAATGAATTTTATAAAATTACTAGAAATACATGCATGCAGTAACCCCTCGCCAATATTTTCCAAACATTAAATTAACTTAAAAAACTCATTAATAATTCAGGAGGAAAACACAAAGAAAAATCATAAGCGTGTTGTATCTTTATATGTGATAAAAAATCATGTTAATTTATATAAACTTTAGCTTTGATTTTCTCGGTTTAGACAAAGTTTATTTTAAAAATTACTTCGCCAATGAACTTATATAAGATGAGTCGTTTTTTAAGCCATGTAAAGCACTTGTAGTCATGTTTTATTAGATATAAAACGCTTGGCTGCGCCTCGGGTATTATATCTGATAAAACACTCCTACGCGTGCTTTAAATAGTACATGAAGTATTCATAATTGATCAACACTGAACACAGGCTCTCGCGCTCAAGTGTTGCCATGACAACACAATATTCTTAAATTTTTTCATATTTTTTGTACAAAACTGCGAAATAGTTGAAAGGTTCGTACTTTTAACTATACAACAATAAATTTCTGAAATATATACTGTAGGTATATTATTTCATGATTTCTCATAGTAAATCAATTCTTCTCATTTCTTCAAACAAAATTGTTGTATATGAAACGAATTTCCAAATATATGTCTTTTAAAATTGAAATCTTGCTTATCCCACTCATACAAGCAATCAGCCATATTTTTGAGATCAGTGAGGATGACCACCCACTCAAGATCGTTGCTCACGCCCGCGATCATTGATGAACTTTAGACTTCGCTAATGCTTTCATTTCCCCGGGTGTAAATAGCTGGGGGGAATTAGTTCCCTCACCCCAGGCTTCAAGGGGAGAGCGGTGGCACTTAATGGATTAATATCATAGAAATAATAGATATAGAATGCGTACTTGATCACGAATCATGTCTCCACTTTTTTCATGCGTGCCCTTATAAATCCGCCATGTTTGAATTTGACTAGGAGTGCAAACTACGAAGTATAAACAAAGCTAAAACTACGTTTTCATTGTCAAAATGTTTGTCTTGTTGTCTAATTTGTAATTTGGGGATAGATTTTGAGTTCTTTGAAGGCACAAACTGTCAAAGCAAATGTGCAGTTACAAAAACGGTGAAAATCATGCAGCCTTGTAAACAAAGTAGTTTCGCCAGTTTCGCGTAAACTGATATTACTTTATACTCATAAAACATTTTTTTGCATGCTCTGAACGTCACTAATGTCACTGTTTTGCTAATATCTTATAAGTTTACAAAATGATAGTTCTTTCTTCGTCGGATTTCGTTTTTCTTCGATGTAAACGAAGTTTTTTATTTATGTTTTTTGAAACAAAAATATTTAGTTTTTGATAAACTGTAAATTGCCTAAATAATCGTCGAAAACTATGGTTTCAAAAGCGTTGCCTCAAGCTCAAGCAACATAGAAAAATATGAAAAGTAATTGTGTAAGTTTAAAAAGATTATTGAACTTCATTTATATTATAAAAGAGTTGAAATATTTAGAACATACCTATTGAGTTTGAGTTTGTCTTGATCTTTCAGGTTTTGTTTTGGCTTGCACAACAACGTTGAAAATTTATTTTTAAACGATGATTTCTGTATATATTCTGTCCAGAACTGTTGCTTTTCGTAAAAAAGCCCACTAGAATGGGTTTTTAGACACTCTTTTCACTTTATAAAAGTTTTTTTCCATTTTAAGTCTCGATATAAAAATTTTTTGCAAACTTTGCAGTTGAAAAAACAATTTGCACTCTCTGCAACCGCGCAAAATTTATATATATATATATATATATATATATATTGCCATTACCAGTGGATTGCTTGTCAGACATCAAACAAATTTTCACATAATTTAGG